ATTTGAATCACGATGTCAATTACAGATTTTAAACTGTGGTAGAAATTTGTTGTTGTATACTTCATTTGAGTATCTACGATATTTTCTATTTGGGATTTAGGTAGACTAGATGCCTCTTAAGAAGACGTCCGCACGCCGCCGCTGGCCTCTATCCGACTCCAATCGCAGCCGAGATAAAACACATTAACAAATTGTGTCCTAATTAGATTGGGCAGCAATCTGACGTGTTCTAGTATAACTAACGGCAACGGAGCGGCGATCCAATTAGTTCATATCCTCGTTAGCGCATTATCGCGCTCATCCCTCAGCCTGCCTCCGCCGAGATGACAACGAATTTTCCGATCCCGATACCGAATTTACCGGTTATGGGGCCCTAATTAATTGGAATTTTGTATATTTTAAATGAGGCGCTTATCGCGCGTGGGACATCTCCAACAAGATGAGCCTGTAGCAGAAGAATCCCTCGATCTACCGGGAATAACCGAATATTTCGTATTCCTAAAGCTGCAACTCCACCGAAGCGACATTTGTCGCAACACATTTTTACCAAAACATGCTAGAATTAATAATAAAATATGTGTTTTTTTTTGTATTATAAACATATCTGAGTACTCTGGAGAAAATATGAATGTAACAATGCATCCCAAGCTTACACAAAGATTACTGACAGTACTTGAAAAATGACAAAGAAAAATAATGAAATCGTTATTTATCATTATTCGTTACTCACAGCATTTATTTTACTTTAGAAACGACAGCCTATGTTTATTTAACCAAATCACCTTCATTTTAGCCGTAGAATACTATCCAGGATTTCGTGCACGTACTCAGGAAACGCCCTGTACTTTTTGAAGAAGTTTTTTGTAGATATTTGAACGTACAGGTTAACCAAAAACACAGTGTAGACCCTAAAATGCAAACAACAGAATTGAAACGCATTAAGCTCGACTGGCGACAAAGAAAGTCGATATTGGCCCTTAAAGAACGATCGGAAAAAGTCCCGGGGCCCATTTAAAAAATTAGCCGAACGAATATTAACCCCAATTGTGACTGAAATATCTGACGGCGCGGCGCCCCGTTATGGGGCGGACACCGAAAGGCATACAGACAGCGCGTTATTATAAAAATGCTGTCGTAAAAACTGATTAGAATTTCACCCCATGCCAAATTGCTATTCAAATGTGTGACGCTATTGGCAACCGATTTATTCTTGCGTCGTTGAAGTAACAAGATTTCGGGAGCTTAGAGCGAGGCTGTCGAAGAAAAATGTTTGTTTTATTTAAATTTAAGTGGCGGACAAATGATCATTATATTTAAATCGCATCGGAGGCAGTTCTTTTGTCTCTGCGAGCGGAATTTGGCTTCGGGTCACAGCGGAAGGGAAAATCTATATCGCATTTGATTTCTGCTTCGCAGAGATTAGATTCTTACAATTATACAGGGTAATTGACGTAACATTCTACCACCCTTACTTTTTTTACCTTTGTATCTAGAAAAACAATGTAAAGACCAAAATTATAAGAATTTTTGTTGCGATATCGAAGAAATATATAAAAAAACAAATAATTGATGGTTTTTTAAATAAAACACTATGTATATTTATTACTTATTTGGAATTCTCTCCTTTTTCTGATTACAATGACATATTCATATGAATGGGAGTTATATTTATACTACGCTACCTTTGACCTTGATATATCATAGTTTGTTTTCTGAAATTCCTTTTTTCACCTGTTTTTTCGTAATTTCGGCCACTGGACAAACTAGTGTGACCTCAAACAAGGGTGTTAATCTCAGCACATACACACTTGGGATCTATGGTATGCATTGTTGTCAAATCTAATAATTTAACGAAAAGGTGGAGAATTTTATTAAAAAGGAAATTTCTACATTGCCCATGGACTTTTTCATATGTATAGTTTGTCACAAACAACAAATGTACCAAGCTTGAAAAGAACCTACTGTACTGAAAAAATTATAGTAAAAACTTAAAAAAATAATTTTTAGGTTAATAATCGACTTTTCGAAAAGGTGCTACAGAAATTTAAATAATTTTTTAAATAGAATAGCATCTTATTTTTGATCAAAATTTCCATGCCACCCTGTATGCTGTTAAAACTATTTGAATGGGATTTATGAAAACCGCAATACAGAAAATAATGAGCGTTCAAATAAAAACGTGGTCAAGTTGGTTCTGAAAATTTGGACGTAGGGCGTAGCGTATAGCAAATGAACTTAAACGTCATCTGTCAAAGCGCTATATCGCCGCTATCAATTTGAATATTTTCGTTTTAAAAAGCGNACTTGCTTAGTCCTACATATAAAATTGTTTACTTTTATTTATAAGTACGTGAAAATAATTCTTAAAATGTGGGGTTAGGATAACAGAAAACGCATGTTTTACAAACGCTTTTTTTTCAGTTATTATTTTATTTGGGTAAATTTAAATGGTAACAATGAATAAACAAAACATCAAGGATTTTATTTTTGTGCTTACTTTTGTTCTACACGTTTTACTTTTCAAGATTTCAGTACCTAAAAATGCCAGAAAATTCACCATTTCTCGGCCAGGGATATGGCCACCTTAATAGAATAGTATCCTATTTTTGATCAAAATTTCTATGCCATCCTGTATGCTGTTTAAACTATTTGAATGGGATTTATGAAAACCGCAAAACAGAAAATAATATAGGTATAAGTACTAGAATTGTCTGGTACTACTAGAATTATCGTATTTGTTGAACTTAAATTTTATAAAAATATTTCTAAGCACAATTTCAATAAACATGTATTTTATGCTGCAAGTGTTTAAAGGTAAGGGTTTTTTAACAATGAAACGTTTAAAACAAGTATATAATGTGAAACAGATAAAAAATAAAAAATATATATAAAAATATCTAAAACTCACAAAAACTGAACTTATAGTTACAGCCACATTGCTTATCAATATAAATATCAAATCTAATCTACTTTTAGAAATTATTTTAATACTAAACTAAATTATCAGACTTCGTTTTTGAGGAAAATGCATATTTTGAATATATTCAGGATGACCAAGAGCATGTCGCTCTGGAATCAAAAGATTCAGAAGCATTAGATATATAGTCCAGACAGAATCTGTTTCAAAAAGTCCATATTTTGGTGAATCGTATATCCACGGAGATTTTTGGCTTTCAGATATCACTAGATATTAAAATTTTTCTATGCGCATAAAAAAACGTGGGATTAATGTTTCTTCCTATTTAATTATGTATCTTTTCAGGAATTGATTTTAGGGGAAAATGGAAGAGGTTTGTAATTAAATTTTCCACAATATATGACTAGTTACAAATCGAATGAATCATGATTGTTATTGTAAATATCGAAAAAATCGCCAAAAATGGGGTTAAAAACATTTCTTTTTAGGGAATTTGTTTGGGGTATAAGATCTTCACACTTAGCTCAAGAAAACTTCATGTTATGTAGAATCATCACACCAAATTTCATCAAAATCGGTTCAATAAATTTTGCATAATAATTTTGCAATCCAGATTTTGAAAAATATTTCGCAAATTTTCAAAATTTTGCACAGCAAAAACCAAGTCCGTTAGATACTTGAAAATTTAATCACATATAGAAGGGCTCTCAAGTTTTAAAACGCTTTTTGAAAAATTCGAGTCCATCAATTAGGAGAGCTCTGGCGCTTGTTTAAACATTGGTCGTACGTAACTAATTAACCAATCGATCTGTTTTTTTTTTAATAGAACCGTCTTTCCAATAACTTTTAAAACCTGCTTTAAAAAATTTGATTTTGATTGCACAAAGTTATTCTAATTGTTTATAAGTACAAAAATTCGACCAATGTTTAAACAAGTGCCAGAGCTCCCCTAATTGACAGATTCAAATTTTTCAAAAAGCGTTTGAAAGCTTGAGGGCCCTTCTATATGCGATTAAATTTTCAAGTATTTAAAGGATTTGGTTTTTGCTGTGCAAAATTTTAAAAATTTGCAAATTTTTTTTCAAAATCTGGATTGCAAAATTATTATGTAAAATCTATCGAACCGATTTTGATGAAAATTGGTGTGATGATTCTACATAACATGAAGTTTTCTTGAGCCAAGTGTGAAGGTCCTATACCCAATTTGAAGATCCCAAAAAAAAATCCCTAAAAAGTAATGTCTTTTAACCCCATTTTTGGCGATTTTTTCGATTTTTACTATAATAATCATGATTCATTCGATTTGTAACTAGTCATATTTTGTGAAAAAATTAATTACAAACATTTTTTCCTCTTCCATTTTCGCCTAAAATCGACTCTTGAAAAGATACATAATTAAATAGGAAGAAAAATATGACATTTTTGGAATTTTTATAACATATTGTGCCGCCAAAAGTTAAGCCCACGTTTTTTTTTGCGCATAGAAAAATTTTAATTTCTAGTGATATTTGAAAGCCAAAAATCTCCGTGGATATACGAATCACCCAAACCAAAACAGATACCGCCTAGTCTAATACGTCAGACGACTGACAGACTCAGACAAAGATTGTCGAAATAATGTTCTCAAAGCTCAATTCAAAATATTATTTGTATATTGTTATAGAAGGCTGATATTTTGTTTCATTTCATTGTTTAGTCATCAAAAATTTGATTAATTGTAATCAACTTAAATAAAATATTTCACTTACCTACTTCCCTTTAGTTCTTCAAGCTGTTTTACATTGACAATTTATTGATCAATTAATTGATGAAGAACTTCGTCAATTTATTGATGAATAAATTGTCAATGTAAAACAGCTATTAAGCTCGATTAATTTGAGATTTGAAATCATCCCGCATATAACAGTTTTGTTAAAATGTTTTCTTATTCATTGAATTTTAGTACAGGAATATATATCCGGAAATCGGCGACATTTTGACAATTTTTTCCACGTAAATCGATAGGTTTAGGACCCTTGCAGCCAAATTTGCACTGTATGTTATTTTCTCAATGATCAGGTGCATAATAAAGAATAAAACGCCATTAAAAAAACACCATTTTATTCAACACCTTAAATAGACTTTGCAATCAACGCCTTAACGTATCCAGCGATATGCGGTGCGTCGATACCATAATAATTCAACACCTGGGCGGTGGTACCAGAACGCGGCACCCTTGGAATAGCGATGTGCTTCACGTATATTCCAGTTTCTTCAGCGAGAGCAGACAAGACAGCCTCACCAATGCCGCCCTCTGGGTAGTGATCTTCCACCACTAGGATCTTGTTGGCAGTTTGACGAGCATTTTGGATGATACCGGCCTTATCGATGGGCTTGATGGTGAAGGGATCCAAGACGCGCACCTGGACGCCCTCTTGGGCTAGCTGATTAGCCGCGATGAGCGATTCGTGCAGGGTGATGCCACCTGCGATGATGAGGACCTTATCGCTATTGGAGGAGAAGACTACGTTGGCCTTTCCAATCTGCAACAGGTGTTAGTATATGAATACAAAACTCATTTGGTGATGATCTCCTCAAAACCTCAAATATTAAAAATCCATAAAAGTATAAAGTTATACTCATAAAACTTAATAATTGCCACGATACTTCTAAATATATCTCTTCTGAGTTAAAAATTAAAACCTAAAATAAAGTGTTGTTGTACTCATAAAGTGTTCCTTGCGAGCTATGACGTTTTCTTTTCAAAAATGTTGTAATAAAATAAAGATATTTGCGTAATATGAACCCTCAAATCAATATTTGCTATCTAAATCTTGATTACTGCTCACTTGAAACAAATCTGTTTGAAGTGATCTCGAAAGATAAATAGATACCAGACAAATTATTACTAAAAGTACGTGTTCCTTACTTGGAAAACTTGCTCGTTTGGATAAATGATAGTTGTAGGCGGTCTGCTGGTTCTGATGAAGGTAATTCCTTTGGTATTAGCTGCTAATTCTACGGCTCTCTCAGTGGCTACAACATCAGCAGGGTAAAAGACCGTGCTGCCGGGGATAGACCTGAACATAGCGATGTCTTCCAGAGCCATTTGGCTAGCACCATCTTCACCAATAGATACACCACAGTGGGATCCACAAAAGTTGACGTTAGACTGAGAAATAGCACCCATACGAATCTAAAAAATTAACGATCAGTAAATGTTTACAACTAAACAGACCAAGACCTACTTGATCGTACGCTCTGGTCAAGAAAGCTGCGAAAGTAGAAATAAAAGCAACTGTCCTGTCCCTGCAAGTTGCTCCCATGGCCACACCTACTAGATTTTGTTCGGCGATGAAACATTCGATGTACTCTTCGGGGTTGTGTTTCTTCAGAGCTTCAGAGAATGTGGAGTTCTTCATATCACCATCCATAGCGATAACCCTAGGGTTGCTCTTGGCTAACTTGACCAGGGCTGTTCCATAGGCTGATCTAGTGGCCAACTTGTCTCCTACCTTGTAATTTGGAGGAGAAGCTAATTTGATATTTGAAATATCCACCTTGGGGACCTGGCCGACTGGAGCTGGGATGGTGAATTTTAACTGTCCTTGATTTTTCAAGAGTGTTTTGAGGTGTTTCAGAACTCTATCGGTCTCGGCGCCCAAAGGTTTTCCATGCCAATTGTCTTGGTCTTCGATGCCAGGGAAGTCTCTTCCCTTGAATGTCTTAGCAATGAGTGCTGTGGGTTTTCCTTTTACAGTAGCGGCTACATCGAAACCCTTGACTAGATCTTCCACGTTATGTCCATCCACGATGATGGCGTTGAATCCAAAAGCCTCCAAGCGCTGTTTGTAGAGCTCCAGGTTATGGCCCACTTGGGTAGCTTGTGTTTGTCCAAGGCGGTTGGCGTCGAGGATGAGCACCAAGTTGTCCAGTTTATAGTAGCTGGCGAAATGAATGGATTCCCAGATGGATCCTTCGGCACTTTCTCCGTCACCAATCAGACAGTACACCCTGAAGAACGCACGAAATATATTAGAGTCATTTAGAGCTAAGTAAAACTATGTGTAGGAACCATTTTTATGTAGTTGTTGGAGGAACAACTACCTACCTGTAATCGGCTTTGTCGATGTACTTTCCAACATAGGCCATACCATCAGCAATGGCCAGTCCTTGACCTAGGGAACCGGTACCGACGTCGACAAAGTTCAGGCGAGGTGTAGGATGACCTTCCAGGTCGCATCCAATCTGCCTCAATTTGAGCAAGTCGGAAGCAGGGAAAAGCCCTGTTTCTGCCCACGCGCCATACAGGGCTGGTGCTGCGTGACCCTTGGAAAGGACAAACCTATCGCTGGCTGGGTCTTTGGGAGCGCATACTTTGTAGCGCATTGTGTTGAAGAAAAGCACAGAGAGGATCTCTGCAATGGAGGAGCTTGTTGTTGGATGGCTGAAAAGAGGTAGCAGTTATTATACGTGGTGCGTGCATCATCAGGGTCTGTAGTACGTATCAAATAACATAAAAATGTAGAGATGACATAAAGTAAGAAGTGGAAACATTTATAGAATTTTTGAAATAAGTTATTTGATGTATTTGCTTAACTTAACACCCTGTTAGAAGACGCTAGAAATTTATCGAATGGCAAAATTATAATTAAAACACGAAATGTTAATTACAATTATAAAAATATATCATTATCTGCAATTATATAATGAAAAAAATAACACTGGAAATTTTAAGGTCAAGTCTAGATAACAACAATCGTATGATGCGTTATTTTTAGGTATTAGAAAGTAACGTTTTACAAAAGTTGATCTAATAATTTATTTTGTCCTACGTATACAATAATATTTTGGAAGGTCAAAAGTTTGTAGCATTTTTTCGATATCTGACGTATTTGAAAACAAGAATATGTTACATAAAATTACAAAACAATAATAAAAATATATGCAGTTCGAGTGATGTAATTAATTAATTTTGTGCAAACATACTATAGAATTAAATATACAGTGTGTGCCATGATTATGTCTCAAAGTGGAGAAACTTTTTTGTTAATTGTAATACTTTTTAAAGATTCCTGCTTGTTTTCAATCTCTTAACACTGTTGCTACTTTATTGATTTTATATACAGGATGTTCAATTCCTTGAAAAATGTAAGTATTACCCCAAGCAAAATATTCCAATCCTTTGAAATATGAAAAGATATTATTAAAAGATATTGTTAGTAATTCCAAAAAGGTTGTGAATATGAAATATCAATTGTTTTGCAAAAAAGTAATTACCTTATTTCATATCACTTAGGTAACTTGATTGATTTTCATAATTATTATGTCAGAAACTGTTTAACAAATGATTAATAAACATTGTCGTTGGACACACTGTATATAAAATATGAATGTGTTTTTAATATACATTTCAAATCCTTGTATCACAGTTCCATTTGTAAGTCAAGATCACTTTGCGGACCAGCAAAATATAATAATTGAAATCGATCAAGCAATTAAACCGCTGTTTGAAGCGATAATTAAAAAACAAAACCATTACGACCTTCTTTTTAAGGTTAGAATTGAATTGCCATTGAAATTGGGAAGTAAAGACTATTGTTACATATAGTGAAAAAATATATGCATTTAGTTGGTCAACATATATATCATAAACTAAAACTTCTTGCAGCATTTGTATAGGAACAATTATGGAGTCATATTTCAAATTAAATTACGACTTTCAAAAATGCGTTTATTATTATTATATAATTCATAATCAATTGTTTGTTTAAACTAATAAAAAGTAAGGTTTCAGTTTATATTGTTTATAAAGGTTATCAAGGAATAAAATTATTATCTACAATTTGAATAACAATTTTTAGTGGGCTATTTCTATCTATAAACGCAACTAAAGATTGTTCAAATTACACACTATGGAATAGATAAATACCTAAAAAAAACATATTTACGAATACTTTGATAACAACTTAATCATTTGAATTGCTTTAATATTATACGAAGTACACTAAAAATTTGATGAAAATACAATAAAAGTATAGTAGATTAATAAAAATTAGTATTTTTATTTCATATCATGTAAATAAATACATTTTATTACATTATTACATGTATAAAGATTGTATCTATTGCTGATAAAGATTATTGCAATGTGGGGAATGATTTCGGGAAATAGCAGCATTTTCCTGTGAATTTCCATAGATATTTTTACATATTGCTTATAATCAATTGGCCTAAAATCCATATAAAGAAAAGAAACAAATCTTTGCAAATAAAATGTGAAGATAATTTTCTTCCAAATCGTAAATGTCCATACCAACCCTATTTTAGAGAATCGCAATTTCTATTTGTTTTCAAATCGACATTGAATTGTGTGTCGAATTTATCAACCAACGCTTCATATAAGTTATATAAGAAGATAATACGCAAGGCGAATTGTGACGCACAAAATAATAAATGAAATAGACAAGTCATGATTACGATCAATTTTCCTAATTGTCATTTTTAATCTCAATAATTGAATCCTAATATATAAGGTTTACTATTTGTTATACAATTTTGTGTTATACATTTATCAAATTTACGTGTTATACAGAGTGAACCAAAATCCATAAAAATCAATGTTATCAAACGCTGTACCACTTTCTTGAGACGAAATATTATATCCTTTTTCATTCATTGTACTGTACCACAGTTTAATTAAATATTTTCCCAACATACCCATCAAAGGATTCAATGATAACATACCTTATTTTCAATTACTTCAGATTAGATAATTTCCTAGCTATTTTTCAATTATTGCATTTACTTATTTGTTCTCTGAAGATTATACAGGGAATTTTATGAATTTCTAAATATCCTTACTCTTATTTCTGAGTACTCTGTATATGTAACTAATAAAGTAAATACACTAATTGGTATAAAAATATATATTTCGCCAGTTTCTCCTATCTTTCGAAAAATCTTTAAATCGTTTCAAATCTAAACGTCGCGCTTTCCTTGGCTCACTCTGTACATATTCCTAAACCACTCACCCCGAATTGGCAGCCGACGTGGATTCCACACTGTGTATCCTGATCCTGGTGGCCAGGTCTTTCAAAGTCTGATAGTCCGTCACTGGTCCAGGCATCTTGGCTGTCTATCCGTCCACGGAGACTCGACACTGCTAAGTAAAGCTGCGGCTAACCTACAATTATTTAAATACACTGGTTTTTATCGACGCCCGCTTATCGCGTACGTTCACAAATAAGATACGCTATCAGTCGACTGCTGATCTCTATTATAAACAAATATCACGAATTTGTGAGGTTATCTGTAGAGAAGTCGGTAAGAATTCGCCCCAGCGTGAATGGTACCTCGCCGCGAAGGTTGTGAAGGTCAATTAACGACGACTCGAAGCGTATAACTCCGTTCTGTATCCACAGTACTGTAAATGTTGTTTGTTTCCGTTCGTGGAACTATTATATACAAGGTGACCCAAGTTCAATACGCGCTGAAGATGTCTCAGATACAGAGTTGCTAAAATGTACAAATTTATTGGATTTCAAATAAGTTCAAGTCTCCCTTAATCTTGGAAAGTACGCCACTGTCTTCCAAGCAGAAGTGATGGGCCTTAAAATCTTTGCAACGGGGTGAGAAAAAAATACGTGCACGGATATCAACTCATACCACGTCAAATCCAAGCCGGTATCAAGTTGTTTGGATGCTTTGCTAAGGCATGAAAATCAAAACCAAGTGCCCCTAGCTTGGGTAGCAGGACTTGGGAAATATCAAGGCAACGAGAAAGCTGATGAGTTAGATGGAATAAGTGAAAGGTACGGTCAAAAGGAAATTCCAGGACAGAGGCGAACCAAGAAGTTGAAAATGGACCAATTAAACCCGAATTGCAATAAGAATAACTGGGCATTGCATACTCAGGGAACATCTGAGTAACGATAACCTGGTAGAACATGCCTTGGATAGATACTTTTAGGAGGAATTTGAGTCTGTAGTTAATGTATTATACGAATGTAAAGATCTAATAATGGTGCGCTATATGTTTCTCGGAAAGGAAAAATTGGAAACTGAAGTTATGAGAATGAGTCGGTATCAAAACTACCAAATTTAATTAGAAAACTAAAGACAGATGGGGAATTCTAAGACCATGAGATCCTGAGGTTCTTCACAGTTGATGCAGGATGGTGGAATTACCTATATAAATTGATTCAGGAAACAAATTATTGACGATTTTTATAAATGGAAGGAACTAATTTAGATAGCAATCAAATTCTCTGTTTCTGTCATACTCGTGAAGCTGGTTACGTACTTTATCTTTATATCAACCACCATGACATTTGGACTCCTTCTGATCCCACAATCTTCTTTTTGATCCAACAGTTGAATGTTAGGTCATGAAAAGATGAAATGAGAAATATGAGCCAAAAACTATGAAAAACGCCAAAGGACATGTTAATTTTACTACCGTTTAACTGTTTTAGAACAATCTTAGATCAGTGCAGTTGACATAAAACATGATTCACCCTGTAATTGTTAATACATACATTTAACTGCGATAACCTTATCTGTTAAATTTAGCTAACGCTGTGGTTTGTAATTATTTGTTTCTCTGTAATTTGTATTATTAATACACCAAAACTCCCTAAGTAGGCTGTATGCTATACAGAGTGATTCACAACCGGTGACCAAAAATGGAACCTCGTATTCTTTGGTGAATTTTAAGGGGAGTTTTCAGTTCGTAACATAAGAGAGCAGTAATTTGTAGAAAATTGAAAGACGAATGTTAAAATATCCTGATTGTTACCGTAAAGCAGTGGCGTACTATTTCATTTAGAAAAATATGCCTTCTATACCCTGTATCTCCACCACTGTAGCACTAAATTTTATAAAAAGGTCCTCAGATTTTGGACAATTTTTACATAAATACATGTGTCCAATTTCAATTTATTTCATTTACTAGTTTTTAAATTATTTAAAAAAAATTAAAACTATTTTTTTTAAATAATTTAACACCCTGTATCTTTTTAATGGAGCGTCCTAGATAAAAATTTTATACGAAAAACTCCCCTTACAATTCATCAAAAAATACGCGGTGTCATTTTCGGTCACCGTTTATTATATATAATATGCTACAAAATATTTCTATAAAAATGAATATGAAAGCTGCTGAATTTCGAAAAATATGACTAGATATGTTTTTCCTATCATAGTTTAGAATATTTTTAAATAAATTAATACATGAGAACGATGCGTTTTATATTATTTTATACTCTAGGTGTATGGTTTCAAGATTTATCTAAAAACTGTTTCTGTACAACCGTTCGAGAAGAAAGAAATGATTTATAATAGGAGTACAGTTATAGTGCTATATTTTACGCTATTATATTTGTGATTATTTTAACTAAAGGGTCAGTTGATGGTCAAGGTTATATTAATTAACAACTGTTTGCTATTATATGTAGATATCTATACATGGTGAATTCAGTGCAAGTATTTTTAAACCACGAAGTTTCGATTACTTTAAAGTATTGGAATTGGCAAATTATTCTTTCAAAACGTTACCTTACTGATCTAAAAATTAATATAAATCAACATCTTCTGAAGAAAGAAGTAATTCTGTGTTTAGAATTTAAAAGACATAGACCTGCTCTTGTAGATATGCTCTTGCTTTACATTATGATTGTTGATTTTCATAACTCCATTTCTTCTGGTACATTTTCAGTATGAACTTGAACACCTGAATTTTGACGTTTTGCTCATGTCATTTTGACAACTGACAAAAGATACACTACAGGAACTGCAAGACTAAGTATAGTATGTAAAATGGTAAAAACTCCAAGTATTTATTATCTACAATATTTTATCTACAACACTGCATTTATTATAGACCGATCGAAATAACTCATTTAGAGGGAAAAAAAAGAAAATTCTTACCTGGACTTTTATAAGTGGAAATGGTATAGGGGCTTATATTAAACGAAAAAAAAAATAAATGCGTGGGCAGGGGTGGCAGAGGGTTGATTTGGGGGGTTGAAAAGTTGAATTGTATCATTGGGATTTCTGGCGAAAGTTGACGTCAAACAAAAAAGTATCCAATATAAGAAAAGTTGTAGATCATGCAAAAATCTACAACGTTTGTAGAAGTCACTTTTTAAGGATAACCTTAAAATTTCCGAGAAAAATGTGAAAAACGGGTTTTTTTATTTTTCGTTTTTTATTTTCATTTCCACAAAAATAATTTAATTTTGACAAAATCTGGTGAAAGTATACCTTTCTGTGTCTTAAATACCCACACATTTTTTTAGATAAAAAATTCAAGAAGTTTCCGAGATATTCATTTTTTCCGGTCTGAAACACTTTTTTTCAAAGAAAATTCTACTTCGTAAAAATCATCGTACAGAGTCTACCGGTGATAATTTTTTTCGTTTTGACATACTTTTTGGTGAAATAAAAAATCTGTAGTCACAGTTCAAAAACATGCTCAAAAAGGCAAAAAAAATTAAAAATGACTTGTAACAATGAATTTTTTTGTAATTGTTGATAATTTGTTTAAATTTAAAAAAAATCAAAAACTGATTACACCATTCAATTGTACGGTGTTCCTATAAACATTTTAAGTCGAATAGTGAATAAATAAAATAAATAATATTTTTTTTCCGTGTACTTATTTTTTTTTAATTTTGATGAATCCATAGATACAGTGTGTTTTATTATTTTTTCTGCTTTATTTGAAAACGAATTTTAAAATAAATTGCATATTTACATTGCTACTCATTCCGCTATATCCAATGGCGTCAACATTTTTGCAGTCCGACATTTCGTCTTCGAGGGTTCATCATCAAGTTAATTTTTTTAAATACGTCGCTGGAATTTTTATGACAAAATCTAGTCATTTTTAATCCTGAATTAGACGATATTATTTTAACATTGTAATCGCTTAAAAAATTTTTAGCTATCATTTAAAATTTTTATCCAACAATGGACACAGTTTCTTTGTATTTTTTTCCGTACAATTGAATGGTGTATAAGTTTTTGATTTTTTTTTNTCATGTCATTTTGACAACTGACAAAAGATACACTACAGGAACTGCAAGACTAAGTATAGTATGTAAAATGGTAAAAACTCCAAGTATTTATTATCTACAATATTTTATCTACAACACTGCATTTATTATAGACCGATCGAAATAACTCATTTAGAGTGAAAAAAAAAGAAAATTCTTACCTGGACTTTTATAAGTGGAAATGGTAAAGGGGCTTACATTAAACGAAAAAAAAATAAATGCGTGGGCAGGGGTGGCGGACGGTTGATTTGGGGGGTTGAAAAGTTGAATTGTAAAAAGTATCCAATATAAGAAAAGTTGTAGATCATGCAAAAATCTACAACTTTAGTAGAAGTCACTTTTTAAGGATAACCTTAAAATTTCCGAGAAAATTGTGAAAAACGGTTTTTTTTTATTTTTCGTTTTTTATTTCTCATTTCCACAAAAATAATTTAATTTTGACAAAATCTGGTGAAAGTATACCTTTCTGCGTCTTAAATAAGCACAAATTTTTTTAGATAAAAAATTCAAGAAGTTTCCGAAATATTCATTTTTTCCGGTCTGAAACACTTTTTTGCAAAGAAAATTCTACTTCGTAAAAATCATCGTACAGAGTCTGCCGGTGATCATTTTTTTCGTTTTGACATACTTTTTGGTGAAATAAAAAATCTGTAGTGACAGTTCAAAAACATGCTCAAAAAGGCAAAAAAAATTAAAAATGACTTGCAACAATGAATTTTTTTGTAATTGTTGATAATTTGTTTAAATTTAAAAAAAATCAAAAACTGATTACACCATTCTATTGTACGGTGTTCCTATAAACATTTTAAGTCGAATAGTGAATAAATAAAATAAATAATAATTTTTTTCCATGTACTTATTTTTTTTTTAATTTTGATGAATTCATAGATACAGTGTGTCCAAGATAAGGATGGGATAGCATTAGGATCTAGAAAATGATAAGAGATACGGAGTGGCTCAAATTAGAAAAAGTTATGTTTTTTATACCTAATAATATGTCGTTTAGAAAGTCTTAAAATTCCGGGTAGTTCCGGAGATATCCGGAAAAACACGAAATTTTGTAAAATCGTTTTATTATTTTTTCTGCTTTATTTGAAAACGAATTTTAAAATAAATTGCATATTTACATTGCT